TAATATTCAGGATGAAGCATGCTAGAAGGAAGGTACATAGCAGTCATACTCTGATCTAGGGGCCATCTTGACCTTTTTAACACCAAACTTTCATGGGCTGTCAGTAGTCTCCCAGATCAATTTTAGGTAGCATGATTCCTTTTTTTCAGAAAAATAAAATTCAGAACTCTCAAGAACAGGCGGCTTCTCACATCCTTGCCTGCAAGCCCTGGAGGCTGAATGTTTATGAAAGGATGGGCCTTCTCTACCACAGCATTTGCAGTCAAGATCAAAGTCAAATCTCTGCCTCTTCTTCAAACCCAGTTCCTGTACAGCCTCATTTTTAATTATACAGTGGCTGGCTTCAACAACATGCTAAGCTAGGTGAAATGGGGTTCTGTGGGTTGTGGGAAACCTAGCCATTATCTTTAGTAGATTGAGTGAATCGGGCCATCCCTGTAAGTTGTAATAAAGTCAATTTATTGACTTGATTGATTAGATTTATACCCTGCCATTCATTCAGTAGCTGAAGGCGGTGTACATAACATCCCTCCTTCCATTTTTCCCCACAATTACAACCCTGTAAGGCAGGTTGGGCTGAGAGAGAGGCACTCGCTCAAAGTCCCCCAGGGACCTTGTATGGCTGAGGGGGAACGAAAACCAGGGTTTCCCCTCTCCTAGTCCCACCTTCCCATGGCTGGCTAGGGAATTCTGGGAGTTGAACTCCACACATCTTAAAATTGATAAGATTGAGAAACCCTGGTATAGCATACTATGTAATACAACAACTGCATTTTGTTAAACCAAGTTTAAGGTTTAGAGAGTTTTGTAAGTCCAGTTATCCAGGTTTTCTTTGACTTCCACCTGCCTGGTCAGGGAAAGAAAGGCACATCTTTTCTGCCCTTGCCAGAATGCTGTTAATTTTTTTTTTTTTTTATCACATCTTAAGATGCATTGGGCCTGTTCAGAGGTCATGGTAAACCATAAAATGGGCTTATTTAGCAGCAAAATAAACATAGACACACAGTTTGTGATCTGTAACCAACCAAAGTTCTGCCATAAAGACACAAACATTATAGAAGGAAGTTGATCGGTAGAGAAAGTGCTACATGTCCCCATGGACCGTAGAGCATGAAACAGATTGCAAACAGGGTGCAGAGAGAGCTAGCCTTCGGCCACGTGGAAGGAAATGATTTTTAATAGATGATATCAATCTCAGTAATAGTAATAATAATAATTATGGATCCACTCAGCTTCCAGCAGGCCTTTGGTTCTTCCCCTTCCCCACCACCAGCACTATGGAAGGCAGTTCCGTCATAACCCTCATTAATCTCTGGAATGGGGAGGAGATGAGGGTGTGGATCAGATTATACCTAAGTGGCCTCTTTCACTCCACAGCCTGGCAGGGCTCTGTGGTTATCAAGGAGCTCTGCCAGGTCCAATCCAAGAACAGCGAGGAAACAGTTCATCCAAATTCAATTCCTTTATTGATTACACCATATAGACAGAATCTTGCCAGACTACATCTATACTACTGCAACTAGTGGATATACTCTGGGAGATTCTAGGGAGTGGCTATCCTGAACCTCTTATGCTTCCCACGCTCCATCTCCGGACTGTGTTGTCTTTCGTCTCCTTGCCCTTCCTGGCATGCAACCCCTCCTTGCTCTCTACTGCAATCACCCTCCCCTTCGTAGATACATTTCATCACAAGCTCTGGGAGATGAAGCAGCAGAAATGATGGCTGGAGCACAGATGGCAGAAGACAAGGAATGAGTGAAACCAAACATGGGTACAAGCTTGTGTTCAGGGCTACGTGTTGTGATAAGAGTGGCAAAGTGGAATACCTTAGACTGGCCCTCTTTAAGGTAACCTGTACCCTTCGGGGGCAGGATGGGACTGAAGATGTTCTTTGGGAGCGCTATGACAAGTTTGCTAAACATTTCTCTGACAAAACCAGCTCATATGCATTCCACATTGATAGAAGGCAGTAGGACATGGTCTTCAAGTTGATCTGGAACTCTCTTCAGCTTTGTAGGCTGATGCTGGAGTCTGACCACCTGCAGATTGGATCATTGCCCCACTTGGCTTCTTCAGATAGTTAGAGGTGGGGTAAACAGTTGGATCTGGGAGGTGATTAATGTCCCTGAGGAAGAGGGTGATACCTGCTTCCTTGAAGTGGGTGGTGATGCCCCTCCCCTTTTATCCAGCCCTGGTAGAGAACTTCTCTCCAATCATCATCCTTCCCTTTTTAGGAAAGGTTTTGGAGAAAGTGTTTGGACTGCAGCTACAGAGGATCCTGGAAGGAGCAGATTATCTGGATATCATGCAGCCAGAGGTCAGACCTGTATTTGGTGTGGGAACAGCCACTATTGTCATTATTGTCTCCTCCTGCAGATTAGTGGAACCATGTACAACACAGGCCGGCACGTCTCTTTTCGTCCAGATCCGCTACAACTGGTTAATGTTTCGGGAGGGCCTCTGCCATACAGTCACCGGCTCCAAGAGATACGGCTGCATTTTGGCAGCGAAGACGGATTTGGCTCAGAGCACCGGATAGATGGTGACAGCTTTTCTGCTGAGGTGAATACAACTGTTCAATCAGGACTAACACCAACGAAGGCAATGAAGGTGTCCTCTGCAGATTTACTTGAGGTTTCATCAGAGATGTTGACGGGAGGGTGAGAGTGATCAAAAGCTGCAAGATGGCAACTGTGGCATATTGAGTGAAATGCTGTTGGAGAACGAGAGTCCCATTTTTTTACATGGCCACTTGAGGACTTTGCCTCTCTGTTGGGAGCAGGAAGAGAGGGTAGCTAACCCTTTGATAGCCCTCTCTTTTCTGTTTGCATGACTCAGCTGATGAGGAAGAATTAGTTTAGTCTGAAACAACCTCAGGGCTTTGTGGGGCTAAAATTAATCTCCCATGGCTTTGCAGTTGACGACATTGTGGTGTTCAGCTCCCCATTAGCCTCAGTCATTTAAATGGGTTATGCAAACAGGGCCAGTGTGTATATACCAGCAATGAGGTGAAAATTAGTATAGCTTGCACTGAAATGCAAACTTATCTCATTTCACATTTTTTTGTAAGCGGTACCACAAATCAACTGCACACCGTCTGCTTCTCCCTGGTCCTCGTCTTCATCTAATGAGGGCTTTTAAGACCAGGCCATGATAGCACAAAAATGCACTCTATTAGGAAGAATTGTTTGCAATAACTATAATAGGCAAAATTGTAAACAAACATGCGTGTCGCAAGAAATGTGCGTTAAAAAGACATACAAATTTTGGGGTGAATTTTTAACAGTTCTGAAGCTTCATGAATTGAACTCGACAGATCTGCAGAAATGAGAAACTAAGTAAAACCGGAAAGAATCACTTTTTACTTTTTCCTTGCCCTTAGGTGCAGCTGATCCACTACAACCAAGAACTCTACCCCAATATTTCAGAGGCTTCACGCAATCCCAATGGTTTGGCTGTCATTTCCATCTTTGCCAATGTAAGTGTGTTGCTGTGGCTGCAAGGGGACACCAGGTGGGCCTTGACTGGGCAAGATGAGATGGGAAGTTAGGTAGCAAGGCACAATACCTTGGTTGGATTTCCATTTGCAGATTGGACCAAATCCTAACCCTTTCCTGACCAGGCTGTTAAACAGAGAAACTATTACCCGGATCTCATATAAGAGTAAGTGGAGCAAATCTGAAAGATGTGGATCACGTGAGGAAGCTGTATGCGAAGGTGGCTGAGAGTTGAAAGCTTAATTTTTAAGATGGGAGGGGACTGAGGGAATTTTTAAGATGGGAGGGGACTGAGGGTATGATGGGAATTCATGCAATATAAGGGTTCCTCTTGTAACATTGATGTAAGAATCATGGCAAGACTCGACTGTGTCCAGTAGATTGTTTAGCTTCAGCAAAAGATTGTTTAGCTTCATGACAGCATGAAATCTTTGAATATATGATTCTGTGTCCAAATGGTAGAAAAGGGTTGCTACTTTTGGTTGTGTTATTTGTTAGTTTCTTGGAAGTATAAGAAAGATCACAACTGGTAACTAAATGGATCTAACCATCAGGGCTGTTCCCATATTCTTAAGGTAGGCATGCACGTATGTACCTATTCCAACAGATGATGCTTATCTTCTACATGACTTGAGCCTTGAAGATCTTTATCCAGAGACATTTGGTTTTATCACTTACCAAGGATCCATGTCAACCCCTCCGTGCTACGAAACAGCCACCTGGATCCTCATTGACCGCCCCATCAATATTACCTCCGTTCAGGTAGGTCTCTGGGGCCCCTCAGTGCTGGATAAATTCTCTTTAACCTCCTTTTGGTCATTCCCCAAAACCTGCCTTCCCCTGACCTCTCTGAACCATCCTGGTGTCCTCTACCAGTCCTGAGCACTTGTCTCCCATCCCTCTGTTCTCCAGATTCACTCCCTTCGTCTTCTCAGTCAGAACCTCCCTTCTCAAATTTTCCGGAGCATGAGTGACAACTCGAGACCTCTCCAGCCCCTTTTACACCGAAGCCTTCGGGGCAACCGAGACCCACGGCGCCCCACTAAACGTTGCAAAGGAGCCTCCTACAGGCTACATGGTATGCAACCCAGGAATCCCATGTTATGAGCATTTCTGTTACACTCCCATTCTACTTATTTAGTTTCAGTCTTTCTTCTTTTTTTAGTTGCTCAAAGTTGCTCATACAGGAAGATCTTTTCCTTTCTACCCTTTCAAGTCCCCTATGAGTTGGATTTGGTTGAGTGGTAGGGACTAATGCAAGATAAGCTAGTGAGTTTTATGGCTGAGTGAGACCTAAACCTGAGTTCCCCCCAGTGTTCATACAAATATACTGTACTTGGGCTGCAACTATCCGGATGGCAGAAGAGAGACACAGAAACTTGACACTTCAGTGGTCATCCACATGTTTGCAGTCCAGAATTTGTGGCTCTAAGTCCAGGACTATAACACTATGGGGAGTGTAGCACAGCCTGCCCTGAACCCCATAAGCTAGACTGCTGCTCTCAGATGCAACGATATCACCATCAACATTGTCACCTTCAACAGACGATTCAATTGGCTTGTAAATGCAACTGAGAAGGGGGAAGCTTGTTTTGTCCTTTAACTGGGGGAGTAAAATGGATTATCCCAGCCTGAACATGAGAACAATTGGGAAATAAATTGTGGGCCCCGTAGTACAGAATGCTTTGATCACTCTGCCCCACCGAAAGCTAAACCTGCCAGATTTCAAAAGCCTTTGTGAAACCAGTGGCAACCAGACATAGGGTGTATCCACATGTCCTGCCTGCCTTCTTTGTCCACCCTGAGCCCATTGGAAGGCCACCTCTGCCCATCAAAGGCAGGGTTCTCCAACCTCTGTTGGCACAAGGGGGAGGGGTCATCTGCCCTCTGCACTTCATTTCATTGTAGGCAAATGTACGGCTTGTGTGTGCTATTCCAGGCACACCTCCACCGCCTTCAGTCATTGAGCATGATCCTCCATGACAATTTCATCCTAGGCTGCTGAAGTGGGGAAATTATGAACTGTCTGGAGATTTTTGTGTATTTTCTTTAACTTATCCACTTTTTTTTCTTTTTAAATCAGCCTCATGAGAATGACCAAAAGCAGGGAAATGGCAGAGGGACAGGAGGCTGGGAGTGGCTGGTAGGAGAGGCTGCAAGAAGGCTGCGTGTGTGCATATACGGACGCACTCATGGGGGCAAGCACAGCAAGGAAGCAAACAAACCCTAAACTTCTTGACAACTGTAAAGAAAAGGAAGAAAAACCAATCCCCCCCCCCACACACACACACACACTTTCCTTCTCTCAGTATGGATGTACATCCCATTTTTCCTAGACTAGAAACCCAGGAGGTTTTTGGCTTGCTGAAGCTTTCCTACCAGCCTTGCAGGAGCTAGGAGAAGATATCTCTTTGGACTGAGTGCAAGGCCTGGGGTGAAACTGCCAAAAGTGAGTCAGTTTTCCTTTCTTGCTCAAGCCAGAGCAAGGACAGTGAAAGGCGTGAACCATTGTGAGGAAGCAACTCCAGCTTTGTGCAGGGAGTTAGAGGAGGTGATCCCTAAGATCCCTTCCAGTTCTCTTATTCTGGGACTGCTGGTTGTTGTGAGCTCACGCAAAGGTGAAACGCACACCCTCAAAGACACACACACCTCCCTGTCCCCTGGAAAGGAAGCCCGCTGGCATTGGCTTCCAGGATTGATAAGAGGGATAAGGAAGGATAAGGATAAGATAACGCCATTGGGATAGAACCCCTGGCTCATATCATTGCCCAACCCTGAAATCCAAACAGCGGTCTCTTCAGCTAGCTTCATTTCCTGCCACAATCAGCATGGAAGCCAAACGGCTTAAGGCTGCCATGTAGAATTGCTTAGTGACTGAAAGCCATTTGCACTCCCAACGGGTGCTGTGGCCTGGTGGAAGGTGCCCTTCCTCCTGTGACCCCATCTTGGTGGAAATCATGCTTCAAAGTGCTCTTTCTGATTCTCCTCCAAGGAAAAAGCAACTTCAGCTGTTCAAAAGTGAAGCCACCCTACTGCGTGGGGCGGGTTGGGAAGTTAAAAAGTGCCCCAAACAGGGAGGTATTAAAAAGCAGTATCAGCTACCCCATATTTCTGGTGCAGAAGGAGGTTCCTTCCTGCTGAAGTGAAAATAGTGCTAAACCAAAATATTCATCACAGGTTTGCGTGTTAAGATTCAGGAGGTTGGTCTTATGTAGCCTTCCCCAACCTGGTGCCCTCCAGAGTTCTCAACCAGTGTACACTCTGAAGGGCACAGCTTATCTATAAATAAGTCAGGGGCAGCTTTTTCTTTCTTTGTTATTATTAGGCTGGGTTCATACAACCTGTTAAATCTTTAGCCTTAGTTAACAAAACACAGATGTTGAGTTGCCCTGACAAAGAAGCTTATTAAGGCATACAGTGCTGGCCTGGTCACCCAGGATGTTAAGACAACGGTTAGGTTTTCACAGCTTGCTGTGCTGGAAACAATCCAAGCCTTTTTTAGACTAATATGTTTTTCTTTTCTGAACCAGACACAAATCAGTCATTCTTCCTGCTTCTTCAGGGGTCATAATAATTGGCTTGAGGGTTTTGGTGGGGGGGCTGCCCCACAAAGAACTACAGTCGGGCTGGATTTTGTGGTCACTAAAATAAATAAAAGACCCTCCCCCAGCATCATCTGAAAAATATTCTCAAAATCTGTTTGATTCCAAATGTCACCACTGCATACACACATTCACACTTTTGTGATGGATAAGAAGCCCATGAAATGGGAGACGGGGGCACAGCAGAGGGGTGAAAAACCAAAAGCATTTAATGTAATTTGAGCCATCTTTGTAATCAAAATTATACACCTACAAAATTAAATGGAGCAACTTGGGCCACTGAGTCCACCCTCCTGCTTTGTGGGGGAATCCAGATTAAAGCAACCCTGACAAATGAGCGAGAAAATTATTTTCCAAAGTAGGGGCAGACAGCAGGAAAGATTAACCCTGGAAAATACAACTGGAAAAAATGAGAAAGTGGTGGCCAGTTCTTTCCTTAATCAGTCTTCTTCTCCTTCTTTCTCCTCTTTCCCCCTTTTTGCAGTTGATGGAACACGGGCTCCCAAAACAGCCATGTAGTTCTGTTGCAACCTGTTTTGTCCTCCTGAATGTCTGAGTGCAACCATCGCTCAAACTTCAGTGTCCGACTGAGGAAGTTACAACCTCCCATCTCTGAATGATTGCTGTGGCTTCCATTGTGGGAAAGGCAACGTGTGGGGTACCAGGGAACCAGGCTGGAATTTCTGCCTTGGGGTGTTTGGAAAACAATGATCACATTATGGTTGGGTTGCCAAAGGCTTAAACAATGAAATGAGGGCTATTCATTTGCAGAATATGGCATGTCTCCCCCAATGGTATAGTCTAGTGTTAAAAGAAGGCGGGGGTATCCAGAAATGTGAGGACTAGAACCTTCACATTGCCTCCCTGGGTCTCCTAAAGCAATGCCGTCTGTCCTGGAGATCAAATATATTCAAAATCTTTATCAGTTGTAAATGTTAGGTGGAGGGAATTCACCCCAAATTATAGGCAGAGCAGCTAAGCTGTATCAGGCAGACAGCTGTATTCCAAATACTGTATGCACCTTAGACTGTTTGGTTGGAAATAGAAATGCAGAGGAATATCCTCATAATACCCTAGTGAGCCCCCAATATGTTTATGGGGCATTCTGAATAGTTTTCTCAAAGACTTGAAATGCCACGCATCTCAGGAAGTTTAAGAGGGGGGAACAGCATTACATGGGCATAACCCCACAAACTCTAAGCTTCGTATGTTATTTTTAAGAAGAGTTAATACACTTGGAACTTTAATCTGGGTAAAACTTGAGAGAATCTGGGGTGGAAAATAGAAATATGATCTCCCTCCCAAATCTCTCTATCCTGGGGGGTTTGGGAGAACAGGTAAAATAAGGGATCTGTGCTTATCATTTCATTCTGAATGGCCTTCAACAGCCCTAACTGTGAAACAGGAGAGGGAGTATTTTTATTGCCAAAAGAACCCACCTTTTGAATATTGATGAGTATTATTAATTTAAGAAAAACACTGGTTTTCCAAACAAGCTTTGTTTACTTTGGAGTGAAATTATTTCATTGAGACAAGGGCCTAGTCTGTCACTTTAAGTGGCAGGGCCCAATTCACACCATGTTGGAATTGTCACATGGGTATTCAAGAGGGGTCAAAAAAGTCAAGATGGTGGCCACAACTGCATGATTGAACTTCTGTCCCTTTTTTATGTGTGTGGTATGCACCACAGTGTAGAAAGGGGCAGGGTGCCTTCATCTTGACTTTTTTGACAACACCACCCCCTGGTGCCCTGATTCATCATATAAATAGTGGTGGCAAAGGGAATTGGAAGAACATATTGGAAAGAAAGGGGAAGGGATCTAGCCCCCTCTGCTCTCTTCGTCTGCCTGCATCTCCACCTGCAACCAGCAGACTCACATTTGTGGCCCCTGATGCCACAAGAAGGCTACCAACATGATCATGAATGCTCAGAGATGCAATTTCTCCTTTTTCAAATGAAACAAATTCAGCCCTCAATCAGTGGGATAAGCCTATGTTTGGTTTAGCAGAATTATTGCAAACAAAACAGAAAATCTAGATTGGTGCCCCCAGGTGGGTTCCTGCAGCAAGGCATTTGAGGACATCTTCCTCCTTCATCTGTAGGACATCAAGGCCTCCAGACATTTTGAAAATTTCCTTTTAAAGCAATGACAGGAAATCTGGTGATAACGCCACCATATGGAGTCCTCCCTAAGGTCAGAGAGAAGCATAAACAAAATACGCCACATGAAGCTTTCATCCCCCAGGGCCAAAAATTCACCACCATTCCAGTGATGTCACTGCCATGTTCCTTCCTTAGAGGAACATATATATTTACGCACACGCCCATATACATACATATACATGCATACATAGGGAACCCTGCAACAGTCACATACGCTCACACACACACAACCAAACGTATGCCTTCCCCCCACCCCATACAGAGAAAGCCTTCTTCCAAGACAGAAGTCTGCAGATATGCAGACACGCACAGTTTTTCAGTGACAGCCGTGTTCCCTACTCAGTTCAGAATTAAGACTCCTTATAATCGCTCTGTGGAGAGTCATTTCTATGGATAAACTCTATGCATAAACTCTGTTGGGTGTCTGGAGATCCTGCAAAATACAAAAAAAATCCACCAAAACTCAAGGGGACCATTGCAAGTACAAAATTAATATACCAGCTCTATGGCTGTAGGCTTTTTGCTTTAAAAAATTTATATACTGCCCTTCTACTAGTCTCCCAGAATGATTGATAAAATATTATTTTAAATGCACCCCCTCCCCAATGTTGTATAATGAATGATAGAAAGTTAAAATGATAATATAAATCTCTCTTTCTGGCATCTAAAAGATAGGAATGATCTCAGATCTGGCCTTCTGAGTGCTTGGCTGCTTGAGGCAACACATCTGGAATCTGATAGAGCTGGCAGATCAACCAAACATCAAAACAACCATAGGACAGCCTTTTTCCCTAGCTGAGGGGGTGCTAGGCAGACCATGTGGTACCCCCTCTGTGTTCTCTATCCCCTTTTCTCTGTTTCTCAGCAGCTGCATTTGAGGCAACTGCCTCTTCTTCCCTTAAGGGTAAAGCTGGTCCTGATGTTGGCAAACATCTGGGTGAGAATTCATATCTTCTGTTCACTCTACTGCAACCCTCTCTCTGTTAAATACTCATCCAGTTTACACATCCAAATTTAGCACTGCAAGTAAACATATGGCTTCCTGAAGTACTATTTGATGCAGTTCATAGATCCATAACTAAATAATATTTTTAAAGGCCAAAGAACAGAGGTAGAACTCTCGTTTTGGAAGCAAGGCAATTCCAAACTTTCACCTCTGTTTTAAATCTTGGATGAACTGAAGGCAGATCTGGATTAGTTGATCAATCTCTGGGTAATAAGCAGATGATCAACAAGGATTTCCGACTCCTTTTTTAGCCATAACTCATTTTCCTCAAAGAACTGCAGAAAACACTTCTGATAATCCAGAAAGCATTTCTACCTGCAAGGACCTTGAGTTCTGCTACTTGAAGTACATTACTGAGAAGATAAATCTTTGACCACCTAGTTAATGATTTTATATCTGACTCTTGTTGGTGGTACTTAACATTTGTGGTTATAAAATAAAATCTGACCCCAAAGTCCATCCACCATGACTGCATTAAACGGAGCACAGGTGAAAGAGTTGGGATGAGTTCTCAGTGACCTCTTGAAAGGCCACAGCTGTTGCAACAGAATAGGAATGAAGTTCTTCCTTTGGAGTTAATCTTATCTCCATCTAAACCAGCTATTAATGGTATTCCATCTAGGGATTATCCATTTTTAATTGTGCAAAGCTCTCTCCATCAGCTTCCTACTTTGGCAAAGCACAGGACAGACAAAACAAATTCCATAGCTCAGGGCTGATCAAACTACAAATGGTTGTCTGGGAAGTCACAAAAGTTCAGAAGTTTCATTGCATTTGAATCCAAAGGGAGATTTTTCCTCTCCTGTCTCAGAATTAGGAATAGGGTTAGACGGGGATCAGGAATATCCAAGTTTGAATTCCCATCCTGTCACAGGGTTCACTGGGTTACTTCAGACCAGTCACATTTCTCAGCCTAACCTATCTTATAACAAGAAGGGCAAATCACCTTGAACTCAGTAGAAGAATGACTAAACAGAAATGTAGCAAACAAATGGCAGTTTTTTTATGTAAGGTTGTACAACTGTATTGCAAAACAGCAGTTTTCAGCTGCTAAGACCAGGACTTTCCTGAAGGCAAGGAAACTGCTTCTGACGGTGTCTAGGCTTAACTGAGTAAACTGGGCACAAATGTAAGGCTGAGATTACAAATGGTGATTTGATTGCTCCTTGTTACCACTCCTTCTGCCCAGCTATAGAGTACACTCTGGCCTTACAGCACACTGGGATTCACAGCAATTTAATTGCCTCGTGAAGATCTGGCAGTAGTTGCTTTTCCAACGTTATAAAAAGGGAGCACCTGGCCGATTTCAAGATTTACATTCTCCAGAACAGAAATAAATGGTTGGAGTGACCTTATTAACTACAGCTCCCGTGGGGACAGTCATTTCCTGGTGCAAAAAGCCAGAACTGAGAAACTGGGGCATCAGAAATAACGATGTGTAAAGTCGTTACCCTGTAGACAGAATTACCTGAGCAAAAAAGAAGAATTAAGTGTGAATCACCCTAAGATTTAGCCAGCGGGATAATCCATGAAGATGGATTCTACTGCCCTCTTGTGAAACTTGTTGCTGGTGAGAGCTCTCGACTCTGAAAGTGGCGGAATTCAGAGCTGTTGTCTAAGGTGAATAAACTCTCAGCCACAACTACACCTTAAAAAGATGCACACAGGGACAGGAGAAAAGAGGGAAGACATCAAAAGCTGGCCTGCTGTGGTCTGATGTAATGATCTGGGAGCTGGTGCCTACTTCTCCAAGCTCCAGCGCTGAGGCAAATCAATATATTCAGTTTTCCTGCTCCTTACTCTATAGGCCAATGTTTCTCAACCTTAGCGACTTTAAGATGTGTGGACTTCAACTCCCAGAATTCCCCAGCCAGCCATGCTGGGAGTTGAA